TTTATGAAGTGCACATAAAATTTTAATAAATTTCCAACATTTTGGTATAGTTTTTGTTAACAAAATATAATTGTAAATATTTAAAAATTAATTTAGAAATCTTACTGATACGATGGGACACCCGATACTTTGAATGACAAATTACAGCACAACTAAGGATACGACAGTTTTGGGTCATTTCATACCGAAAGACACCAGAGTTATAGTCAACACATATGCGCTTCACTCCGATCCCAAAGTATGGGACACTCCTAAAGAGTTTATTCCCAACCGATTCCTATCAAGTGATGGCAAAAAAGTACTCAAATATGAGACTTTCATACCATTTCTAATAGGTTTGTATAAGAATGCGATAAAATATTAAAGAATATTCTGTATTCATATGTTTGTATTGATAGGTAAGCGTTCGTGTATTGGGGAGACGTTAGCACGAGTGGAGGTATTCCTGTATTTCGTATCACTTCTGCAAAGATATAGAGTTAGTGCTAAGAATGTGGACATAATGTCAGCCATAGCTAAGAGGTTAACGATGAATGCAAAGCCAAAGGATGACCTAATCCTCGAGTTTCACAAACGATTATAACATAATGTGTTGATATAATATTATATTTAATACAGTTGCCTGTTAAATATACCTGCCGATTCAATGGAGCAGTAATGTAGTCAATTATTTAATCAAGAATATTCTGTTGTAAACACGGTATTTTGAATTTGATTTTAATTTTAGTGTTTACAATATTAAATCTATAAATTATTTCGAAATAATTATTAGTTAATTTAAGTGTTGAGTTAATATTAAAACAATTACATTTAAACTAGTTTTGTATAAATTTTAATATCATTACTAGAGTTAATATATTATTTTATGAGAAACAAATTTTAATTACTTATATCATAAATTCTATTATCAGAAAAGTATTGATAATATTTGTGTGAAAACCTAATGCTTATGACATGAATGGTGTCTATTAACCAAAGGGTAAAGTGTTTGCCATTTGTGCCAAACCATAGACCAAACAGTCCTCCAGTATAT